ACATACACACACAAAAAGAACGACCTGAACAAAGCAAATCATGCGGGCCCTAACCCTATTGGCCAGCTCGTCCCCATTTCTTGACGGTTAACCCGTACAGAAGCTCCCGTGAAGCCATCGTCTCTGAACAAAAACTTTCTATGGCCATATGACAAAAAAAACAAACACAAAGGAAACACTTTTTTTTTTATAAATAAAGTTTCATTCAAATCTAAATTTTTCTCAATTTTAAAATAGCAATAAAATATTACAGCGACAGGAATACACAATACGGTTGTTGGCATCAATTTTGCTAAAAAACATTAAATTTTTGAAGTTAGAGATTCCCGTCGCGTATGAAAAATGAAGAGTTCTAGAAGTTCCCGAGCGGACGGAATAAGGTGTTAGCGTTTGGCACAGGTGGGAAGAGTTAACAAAGAATGGAAGTCGGGGCTTTTTTTTTTTTCTTCTTTCCCATCAACATCCCTCGCCGTGCCAAAAATGTGCCGTGTGTTTACCAACACTGCGCCTGCTCGCAGGACCGCGTGAGGGTGCCGCTGCCAACAGCCGCCACGCCCCTCCATGCCACCACCCCATGCGAGCAGCCAATGGCATCACCTGCCTCTCAGGCAGATGACAGATACAAAGGGCTGCATCTGGGTTTAGAAGAGGGGCTGCAGAGTCATGGAAGATCTATAGACGCAGCGCCAAAGCCACGTGCCCGCCAACGCTGGCAGAATCGTTATCCTTGGCATTTACAAAAAAATGAATTCATTAAAAAATCGTATTTGGGTGGCTGGCCCTTTTAGAAAACCCGATCTGATGAAATAGCCCAGCAACGTTTATTCTATATATCTAATTTTTGGGGGGCCCATTGTTCAAGTTTTTAGGGCATTGGGAAGACACAAAAGGTCGCGGTCATTCAAATATTAGATCACATTGAAAGCACTCTCTAGGGCACCTTGCCCCATACATGCCCCCTTTTTTGGTCTGGTCTACAATACCCATAGGCACCCGTCACTACCTTGGCATGGACACCTTCTATAAACAGGTTGGCATAAAAAGTATTCAGAATCTGGTTACGTATTTTCCCCCAAAAACTACATTTTTTTTAAAAAGGCACCGACCCGCTCCTCCCCTACTCTTTAAATATGGAACCTTCTCCCGCCATCTCGATACGAATGACAACATCCAATATATCCAACAAGTCCGACAAAAAATAAATCACTTTTCATCAAAAAAAAGGGGTGAAGGTCATAATGTCCCCGCCACCACCACCACCTTTGTTTTTTTAAGATGCCATCGCCGACCCTCCGCAGTGTCTTCCCAGCATCTGAAAGCACAGACACGCATGGCTCTGTTCGCGACTGTAAAATAAGGACCACACCCCCCTAACTGTTTTGCCTACAACCTGCGCATTTCGCACGCATTCCCTCGCACGCAGACACAAAAGCAATAACGGGCGCAAAAAAAAAAATATTTTCTTTTGTCTGCCTACACGAAATTTAATTTCGGGGGAACAAAAAAAAGGCCCGAACCCGGACAAAAGGGGCAGCCGAAAGGCACGCGTTTCTTTCGAGGGTTTTTAAAGGGGCAGTCAAAGTTTTATTTCCCAGAATTTTTGCCAACATTTTTGGACATAAAAAGGGTGGGAGAAGACCTTCGAGATCAGGACGTAGTTGGGCAAGTTTGCCAGCCACTTTTGCCCTTCAAGACGCCAGATGCCGCCTGGGTTCTTTTGTTTGGGACAGGCTGACATGGCAGCACATGTTACATTGTATCAACATAACAAAAACAAAAAGAATTCAAGCTCCGGGCCGTCTCGGAGACCTCGATCTTCGAGGGCGCTCGCTCGGGAGTTAAATATCTCAAAAGATTTGGTTATGAATTATTTAAAACGTAGGAACCGTTAGGTCGCAGACTATGCGAGTGCTGATTCTCGGAGCGAGACCCCCCCCATGACGACATGGGCTGGAAGGCTCACCGACAGGCAATGTGTGTGTGTGTGCGCGTGGTGTTTTTTTTTTTCCCTTGTTGTTTCAGACAAAAGATGGGACAAATTGTGCAGCTCGGGAAGCACATGTGCAGGAGAGAAAAAGTCTAGTGCTTCAGACAAAGAGCCTGCAACAGCTCACTTCCTGCACCACGGCACGCTGCAGCGTCTCCTACACAAAAACACACACACTCACAAATTCTTACACACAGGTGGTGCCTGGAAATTTACGACACCATAAAAACATCAACAACAAAAACAGCCACAAAAGCCTGCCCCGGCCGATGTCTACAACAAGAGATCCTCGGCTCCCCGACACTGTCTGCTGACTGTCTGCAGTTACATAATTTTCACGAGCGGCACGTTTTTCGAAAGTCAACGTCTCGGGAGCTCCGAGAGCCGCATCCCGCGGGCATGGAAAGGGGTTCAGCCGCCGTCGCCAGGTCGAGCGGGCAACCCCCCCCCCCCTCTATACCCCCAAAGGGGCGCTCTGATTCGACAGGGGCTGTCTGGTCGGGAAGCTTTGTTGCCAGCGTCTGTCTGAAAGCACATGATGGGTAGCTGTTTCGTGTTTTGGTATGCAAAGCCCTTCAGTCTCCTCTGGGTGCCCAATGACCTAACAGGCAATGGGTGGGTTAATCAGTCGGCCCGCGGCGGTCTGTCGTTATTGTCCGGATTTACTTGGATAAACAGTCGCACTATTTACAATGAACGCGGCACGTGCGCCGCCGAACAAAGACCCAAGTTGACAGCAATAGCGGGCAATATTTCAAGTTTACACCTACTCGCTCCCTGGCAGAGGGGTGCAAGTCCTGACCAATGCCATCAGGCTTAAGGGTTA